TTAACTGTACTTTTGTCTGTTTCTTCTTTCATTTCTATCAGTTTTTGCTTCCTGTATTTTGTGACTGTTGTTTGGTGCATACACATTAAGGATTGCTATGCCTCCTTGACAGATCCACTTTTTTATCATTATATAATGTCCTCTTTCTCTGGTAATTTTCTTCACTCTGAAGTCCTTTATTTGATATTAATATAGCCACTCTGCTTTCTTTTGATTGATATTTGTATGTTGGAGTGCCTGGGTGGCTCAGTCGGTTAAGCGTCTGCCTTCAGCTTAGGTCCTGATCCCAGGGTCCTGGGATAGAGCCGCACGTTGGGCTCCCTGCTCCGTGGGGAGCCTGCTTCTCTTTCTCCCTCTGCCCCTCTCCCCTGCTCGTGCTCTTTTCTCTTGCTTTCTCTCTCAAATAAATAAATAAAATCTTTTTATTTATTCATATATATATATTTTAAAGATGTTACCTATTTATTTGACAGAAAGAGACACAGAGAGAGAGAGAACACAAGCAGGGGGGGTGGGAGAGGGAGAAGCAGGCTTCCCCCTGAGCAGGGAGACCGATGTGGCACTTGATCTCAGGACCCTGGGATCATGACCTGAGCCAAAGGCACAGAGAGAGAGAGAACACAAGTGGGGGGGGGGGGAGAGGGAGAAGCAGGCTTCCCCCTGAGCAGGGAGACTGATGTGGGGCTCGATCCCAGGACCCTGGGATCATGACCTGAGCCAAAGGCAGACGCTTAACGACTGAGCCACCCAGGCACCCAAAGAAATGGACTCTTAACTATAGAGAACAAACTGGTGCCCCAGGCGCCCCAATAAAATCTTTTAAAAAAATATTTGTGGGGCATCTGGGTGGCTTAGTCGGTTAAGCATCTACCTTTGGCTCAGGTCATGATCCCAGGGTCCTAGGATTGAGCCCTGCATCGGGCTCTCTGCTCAGTGGAAAGCCTGCCACTCCACCTGCTTGTGCCCTCTCTCTCTCTGTCAAATAAATAAAATCTTTAAAAATATATATTGGTATGTTATATTTTTTTCCATCATTTTGCTTTCAACTTGTTATGTTGTTATACTGGAGGTAAGTTTCTTGTAAATAACATAGTTAGGTCATGTTTTCTAATCTACTCTGTCAATCTCTATCTTTAAATTTGCATTTTTAGGCCATTTACATTAATGTAATTTTTGATATGTAAGGGTTTAAATCTACTGTTTTATTCCATTCTTTCTGTTTGCTGTTTTTAATTTCTCTATTTTCTCTTTTTTGCCTTCCTGTGGGTTACTTGAACATTTTTAGAATTCTATTTTGATTTATCTTAGTGTTTTTGAGTGTATTCCTTTGTATAGCTTTTTAAGTGGTTGCTAAAACCACTAGGGTAGGTGTGGCCTTTTTACCACTGGGCAATATGGAAAGTGATCACTCTCTTCTAGTCCTTCTCTAACACTATCCTAGTAGGGAGGGAGAGGTGCACTTCATTATTGCCCAGAGGAAATGGAATTCAAGGCTTACCCTGTGGTCTCTATTGATACTGCAATGGTGGTGGTAGTGATAGGAGGGGGGAACAGGGGTTTGTTATTACCCTTAAGGAATGAAAATCCCTTTGGGAGTTCAGTCATTGCTTGATCATCTCTGATACCACCCTGGTGAAAGGTGGAGGAGGGAGAGGGAGTTGGAGTGCCTCATTACAGCCTGGCAAGTGTGGAAGTCTAGGCTCCCCACTCAGCCTTTGCTAATGGGGGAAGGCCACAGTTCTTTAATTTTGGAGTCAAATAGTTTTTATCTAAACATTTTCCATCTTGCTAGGTGGCCTCTTTCCTGGTCATTTTGTTAAACAGAACAGATGTTCATTGGGGCTTTTTTGTCTGCTCCCATTGGCATTTCCAAATTATGGCTTCTTTAACCCCGAGCCTGAGATAATGAGACAAAAAGAAAACCCAGGGAGCTAACTGCTATGTTGCCCCTTATACCCCAAAAGGTCCCCCAAAGTACCTTCTTCTCTCTACCTTTCAGAGACTGCCTATGTTTGTTTTATATATAAGGTCCAGGATTTTTAGCTGTACTTAGCAGGAGGAATAGGGAAAAATACTACTACTACTACTACTACTACTACTACTAGTACCTTTCTGGAAGCAGAAATCCTATAAATACTTTTAATGCCAACATAATCATTTTAAAGCCCTATTAATCTCCTACCTGCTATTATTCCATGGGTAGAAGCCTTTTTTTTTTCATGCTATACAGTTAAAAGTATGTGTCTTAATCAGGGTTCTCTAGAAAAACAGAACCAATAGGAGATACATATCTATATCTATCTGTATATAAAAGAAGTAGTTCGCCTATGCACTCTGTGACTCTTGCAAGTCCCAGCATCTGCAGTGTGAATTGGCAAGCTGGAACCCAGGTTCCAATCCTAGTCGGAAGGCCTGAGAACCAGGACAGCTGATGGTGTAGTTCTAGTCTGAAGGCTGGCAGGCTCTAGATGCAGGAAGAGCTGATGTTTCAGTTCAAGTCCAAAGGCAGAAAAAAATTCTCTTATTCAGCAGAGGTTCAACCTTTTTGTTCTATTCAGGTCTTCATCTAATGAGGCCCACCCACATGAGGGAAGGCAATCTGCTTTATTCAGTCTACCATTCAAATGTAATCTCATCCAAAAATACCCTAACAGAAACACCCAGAATAATGTTTGACCAAATATCTGGGTACCCTGTGACCCAACCAAGATGACACATAAAATTAACCACCACAGTGTACAAACATTTAAAAGCACAGGATTACCAGATTGGTTATTTGGACCTAAATATGAATTCTGACCAAGGTTGCTCACAAATTCACATTTTGGGCTGACTTTGATATACATAGAGAAATTCAAAGAGAATGAGTAAAGCCTTTTAAAGATTCAAAAAATGTATTTAAAGAGAGCAACCACTTGTTGGGAAAACTGGATAGCAACATGCAGAAGAATGAAACTGGACCACTTTCTCACACCATACACAAAAATAAATTCAAAATGGATGAAAGACCTAAATGTGAGGTAGGAAATATCAAAATCCTAGAGGAGCCCACAGGCAGAAACCTCTTTGACTGGCTGTAGAAACTTCTTACTAGACACATTGCCAGAGGCAAGGGAAACAAAAGCAAAAATGAACTATTGGGACTTCATCAAGATAAAAAGTTCTGCACAGTGAAGGAAACAATCAACAAATTTTGTCTACAGAATGGGAGAAGATATTTGCAAATTATATATCTGATAAAGGGTTAGTATCCAAAATCTATAAAGAACTTATCAAACTCAACACCAGAAAACAAATAATCCAGGTAAGAAATGGGCAGAAGACATGAATAGACATTTTTCCAAAGAAGACATCCAGATAGCTAACAGACACATGAGAAGATGTTCAAATCACTCATCATCAAGGAAATACAAATCAAAACCATGCTGAGATACCACCTCACACCTGTTGGAATGGCTAAAATTAACAACACAAGAAACAACAGGTGTTGGCAAGGATGCAGAGAAAGGGGAACCCTCTTGCACTGTTGGTGGGAATGAAAACTGGTGCAGCCACTCTGGAGAACAGTATGGAGATTCCTCAAAAAGTTAAAAATAGAGCTACTCTATGATCCAGCAATTACACTATGAGGTATTTACCTAAAGGATACAAAAATACAGATTCAAAGGGGTACATGCACCCTGATGTTTATAGCAGCATTATCAACAATAGCCAAATTATGGAGAGAACCCAAGTGTCCATCAACTGATGAATAGATAAAGAAGAGGTGGGATGTATATGTGTATATATATATATATATATATATATATATATACACACACACATATATATATACACACACATATATATATATATGCACGCACACACACACAATGGAATATTACTCAGCCATCCAAAAAATGAAATCTTGCCTTTTGCAATGACATGGATGGAGCTAGAGTGTATTATGCTAAGTGAGATGTCATTCAGAGAAAGACAAATACCATATGATCTCACTCATATGTGGAAGTTATGAAAGAAAATAGATGAACATATGGGAAGGGGAGAAAGAAAAAAAGGGGGAGAAGGAAATATAGTATAAGAGACTCTTAACTATAGAGAACAAACTGAGGGTTGATGGGGGGAGTTAGGTGGGGGATGGGCTAGATGGGTGATGGGTATTAAGGAGGGCACTTGCTGTGATGAGTGCTATGTGTTGTACATAAGTGATGAATCATTGAATTCTACTCCAGAAACCGATATTGCACTGTATGTTCACTAACTAAAATTTAAATTTAAAAAAAAGCAGTAGGGATTTGAAGTGTAGATAGATAGATGATAGATAGATAAGGAAAGCAACTACTAAAATCTGGAAGGCAGTATGGCATTATGGGAAGTAAGAGGCTATGGTTGCTATGTTTCCTCAGTAGAGCTTTATAAACAGAGAAACTGTTAAAACTTTGATTTTTCCTAACTCTTAGAGTAAGAATTTCTTTTTTCCATTGTTGAAAGATTTTAAAAATTCAAAATAAGTGTTTCTCATGATCTGTAATCTTTTTGTCACAGTCTCTTAACATTTCCCCCTTGGGCTAGCACACAGGTATCAAGAGCTACTGTTTTTCAGGGCAGGTAGTATCTCTTGTGGAGAAGACTTTGGACTCAAACAGATCTGAGTTCCCAGGTGTGTGACCTCTGGCAAATTGTTTTACCCCTCTAAACCACAATTTTCTTATCTGAAAATGAGGAGTTTAATATCTGTAAAATCAGTTTAAGTGCTCCATAATGAAACATTCTCAAAAGTTAGACATCTAGATAATCTTCAGTTTTGCAGTTTTATGAATAAGACTGACATCTTGCTTAAATCTCCATATTTTGGATTGTTTCCTTGAATTCAGCTTTTTAGAGGTAGAATTACTGAGTCAAGGGATAGAACCTTCTAGAAAGGTGGTACCAAGATTGCACTAGCAATGGGAGAAAGAAAGAGAGATGCTTTTCTAATTTTTAAACTTTATATTTTGTAGAAGCATCAGATGATGAAGGAGGAGGAGACCCAGAAATGATGCAGCAAGAGACAGCTCCAGTTCCTGCCCTGTCAAAGAAAACCGAACAGGTGATAGTACTGTAGGAGTCAAACTGTTAAATTCTGGAATCAGCTTCTTCTACCCCTCTTCAGCATTCCTTGTTTAACATCAGTTGTTGGTGGAATTTTAGGGAAGATTTTATCTTCTTTGCCTTGGGAAAAAACCATGCTTCATTAATGATAAGCAAGGTCTATTTTTACCCTTAATATTTTTTTCAATATAAATGTATTTTACAATAATGATATCTTAGATTCTTGTACCACATTTTTACCAAAGATCCAGTAGTACTCTGTTTGGTACAGTTCCCAGGAGAAGACAAATAGCATAAAATATGTAAAATTACCTCTCATAACAATGCATGATTACAGCACCATGCCATGCTGACAGCAGTCTCCAGGACCTCATGTCTACCTAACATGAGCTATGGTCCATTGTATGAATATTTATCATGGGATTTCTACCTTCAATATTACCAAAAGTGGTCATTTGATACACTTTGCTTCCTGGACTTACAACCTTTTATTTTCTTCTTAATCTTTCTACTGACCACTCACATCCATTTGCAGCTTTTTCACATTATGTGTCCCTCAAACCTGATCAGTAACCATGTGTGATTTTTTTTTAAGGATTATCTACTGTCAAACTAAAATTATCATCTTCTTCATAGCAATGATTTGTGGTCTTACTATTATTGTAAGTGGCCCTAAACTCATTCCCATGAGAGGGTGACTCTACCCAGTTTGTAACCAGGCTCAGGATAATTGTGAGAATCTGTTTACTTACAAGCTGTGCGACCTTAAGCAAGTTAAACTCTCTGTGCCTCAGTCTCCTCATTGGTAAAATGGTGATAATAAGTATATCTTCCTCACAGAGTTGCAGTAGAGATTAAATGGCTAATCCTTGGGATATCTGGGTGGCTCAGTGGGTTAAGCATCTGCCTTCGGCTCAAATCATGATCCCAGCATCCTGGGATCGAGTCCCACATCAGGCTCCTTGCTCAGCGGTAAGCCTGCTTCTCCCTCTTCCTGCCACTCCCCGTGCTTGTGCGTGCTCTCTCTCTCTCTCTCTCTGACAAATAAATAAATAAATAAATAGCTAATACTTGTTAAGCCCTTCAAACAGTGGTTGGCAAAGAGTAAGCACCAAAGTGATAATTATTATAGCAAATATTAACACTTCATTTTCTTTATTTTATTTTTTCCTGGTGGGATGGGGGAATACAGAAAGATATACATATTTAATGTGTAATCATCTCAGTTTTCTCTCCAGCCATTAAATATTTTGTTCCAAAGCTGCATATCAGGTTTAGGTTTTGTTTTTTCTTTTTGCTATTATTTTATTTTACCTTTTTTATTCAACTATAATTAACATACAGTGTTATATTAATTTCATGTGTACCATTTAACGATTCAACAATTCTATGCATTATTACTGCTCACCATGGTAAGGGTACTCTTAATCCCCTTTACCAGTTTCACCCATCCTCCCACCCACCTCCCCTTTGGCAAACACCAGTTTGTTATCTATAGTTAAGTGTCATTTTTTGGTTTGTCTCTTTTTTTTCCCCTTTGTTCCTTTATTTTGTTTCTTAAATTCTATATGTGAGTGAAATCATATGGTATTTGTCTTCCCTTGGCTTATTTCACTTAACATTATACCCTCTAGGTCCATCCATGTTGTTGTTACAAATTCTTTTTTATGGCTGAGTAATATTACATTGTGTGTGTGTGTGTATGTGTGTGTGTGTGACCTTTTTTCCATTCATCTATGGATGGACACTTGGGTTGCTTCCATATCTTGGCTATTTACATAATGCTGCAGTAAACATAGGGGTCCACATATCTTTTTGAATTAGTGTTTTTTTTTCCTTTGGATAAATATCCAGTAGGGGAATTACTGGATCATGTGGTAATTCTGTTTTTAACTTTTTGAGGAACATCCATACTGTTTTCCACAGTGGTTGCACCAGCTTGCATTCTCACCAATAGTGCAGGTGGGTTCCTTTTTCTCCACATTTTCGTCAACACTTGTTATTTCTTGTGTGTTTTATTTAAGCCATTCTAACATATGTCAGGTGATATCTCATTGTGGTTTTGATTTACAGTTTCCTCATGATTGGTGATATTGAGCATCTTTTCATGTGTCTCTTGACCATCTGTATGTCTACTTTGTAAAAATGTCTGTTTATATCCTCTGCCCATTTTTACTTGGATTATTTGGGGTTTTGGTGCTGAGTTTGTATAAGTTATTTATATATTTTGAATATTAACTTTTTATTGGATATATCATTTTCAAACACCTCCCATTCAGTAGGGTGTCTTTCTGTTTTGTTGATGATTTGCTTTTCTTTTTGATGATTTGCTTTTCTATTCAAAAGCTTTTTATTTTGATGTAGTGCCAATAGTTTGATTTTGCTTTTGTTTCCCTACCCAAAGGAGACATATCTAGAAAAATGTTTCTATAGCTGATGTCAAAGAGATAAGTGCCTGTGTTTTCCCCTAGGAATCTTATGCTTTCAAGTCTCACATTTAGGTCTTTAATCCATTTTGAGTTTATTTTTGTGGATGGAGTAAAAAAGTGCTCAAGATTTTATTCTTTGTCAGGTAGCTGTCCAGTTTTCTCAACACCATTTGTTAAAGAGACTGTCTTTTTCCCATTGCATATTCTTGCCTCCTTTGTCATAGATTAATTGACCATAAAAACATAGGTTTATTTCTGGGCTTTGTATTTTGTTCCATTGATCTACTGTTTTGTGCCCATACCATACCGTTTTGATTACTATAGCTTTGTAGTATGTCTTGAAATCTGGGATTGCAATATCTCCAATTTTGTTCTTTTTCAAGATTGCTTTGGTTATTCAGGGTCTTTTGTGGTTCCACACAAATTTAGGATTATTTGTTCTAGTTTTGTGGAAAATATTGGTATTTTGATAGGGATTGTGTTAAATCTGTAGATTGCGTTGCGTAATATGGAAATTTTAACAATATTGGTTCTCCTAATCAATGAATATGGAATCTCTTACCATTTGTTTGTGTCATCTTTTATTTCCTTTATCAGTGTTTTATAGTTCTAAGAGTACAAGTCTTTCACCTCCTTGGTTAAGTTTATTCCTAGGTATTTTTTTTAAAGGAAATTTTAATTTTTTTTAACTATTTATTTATTTTTATTTATTTATTTATTATATAATGTTTGTCACCATACAGTACGTCATTAGTTTTTGGTATAGTGTTCCATGATTCATTGATTGCGTATAACACCCAGTGCTCCATGCAATACGTGCCCTCCTTAATACCCATCCCCAGGCTAACCCATCCTCCCACCCCCCTCCCCTCTGAAACTCTTGGTTTGTTTCCCATAGTCCATAGTCTCTCATGGTTCATCTCCCCCTCTGATATCCCCCCTTCGTTTTTCCCTTCCTTCTCCTAATGTCCTCCATGCTATTCCTTATGTTCCACATATAAATGAAACCATATGATAATTGTCTTTCTCTGCTTGACTTATTTCACTTAGCATAATCCCCTCCAGTTCCATCCATGTCGATGCAAATGGTGGGTATTCATCCTTTCTGATGGCTGAGTAATATCCCTAGGTATTTTATTATTTTTGGTGAAATTATAAATGGAATTGTTTTCTTTTTTTTTAATTTTATTTTATTATGTTATGTTAATCACCATACATTACATCATTAGTTTTTGATGTAGTGTTCCATGATCCATTGTTTGCATATAACACCCAGTGCTCCATTCAATACATGCCCTCTTTAATACCCATCACCAGGCTAACCCATTCCCCCCACCCTCCTCCCCTCTAGAACCCCCCAGTTTGTTTCTCAGAGTCCATAGTGTCTCATGGTTCATCTCCCCCTCCGATTCCCCCCTTCATTTTTCCCTTCCTAATATCGTCTTTTTTTTAATATATGATTTATTATTTCTTTCAGAGGTACAGGTCTGTGATTCATCAGTCTTACACAATTCACAGCACTCACCGTAGCCCATACCCTCCCCAATATCGATCACCCAGCCACCCCATCCCTCCCACCCCCCACCACTCCAGCAACCCTCAGTTTGTTTCCTGAGATTAAGAATTCCTCATATCAATGAGATCATATGATACATGTCTTTCTCTGATTGACTTATTTTGCTTAACATAATACCCTCTAGTTCCATCCACATCGTTGCAAAAGGCAAGATTTCATTTTTTGATGGCTGCATAATATTCCATTATATATATACCACATCTTCTTTATTCATTCATCTGTTGATGGACATCTTGGCTCTTTCCATAGTTTGGCTGTTGGGGACATTGATGCTATAAACATTGGGGTGCATGTACCCCTTCGGATCACTACAGTTGTATCTTTGGGGTAAATACCCAGTAGTGCTGATGCTGGGTCATAGGGTAGCTCTATTTTCAACTTTTTGAGGAACCTCCATACTTTTTTCCAGAGTGGCTGCACCGACTTGCATTCCCACCAACAGGGTAGGAGGGTTCCCCTTTCTCTGCAGCCTCACCAACATCTGTCGTTTCCTGACTTGTTAATTTTAGCCATTCTGACTGGTGTGAGGTAGTATCTCATTGAGGTTTTGATGTGGATTTCCCTGATGCCAAGCAGTGTTGAGCACTTTTTCATGTGTCTGTTGGTCATTTGGATGTCTTCTTTGAAAAAATGTCTGTTCATGTCTTCTGCCCATTTCTTGATTGGGTTATTTGTTCTTTGGGTGTTGAGTTTGATAAGTTCTTTATAGATTTTGAATACTAGCCCTTTATCTGATATGTCATTTGCAAATATCTTCTCCCATTTTGTAGGTTGTCTTTTATTGACTGTTTCTTTTGCTGTGCAGAAGCTTTTTATCTTGATGAAGTCCCACTAGTTCATTTTTGCCCTTGCTTCCCTTGCCTTTGGCAATGTTTCTAGGAAGAAGTTGCTGCAGCTGAGGTCGAAGAGGTTGCTGTCTGTGTTCTCCTTTAGGATTTTGATGGACTCCTGTCTCACATTTGGTCTTTCAACCATTTTGAGTCTATTTTTGTG